TAACGAAGGATTGGTTCCTGATGCCCCATTCACGCTCAACGGAACGAACATCACCGAATGCTCCAGCTACGTGTACCTAGGTCGGGAAATCAATATGATGAACGATCTAGCTCCAGAGCTGAGCAGGAGGAAACGAGCGGCATGGGGAGCGTACAAGAACATCGAGGGAGTAGTGAAGAAGACGAAGAACATCCGGCCAGGGTCAACCGTCACGTTCGAACATTTTCTTCTATAGTATTTGATTCTGAGACCAGTTGACACAGCCCAAAACCTACCTAAAACTCCGAAACTCCACTCCACCCACTTTTTCCCCCAAAAATAGCCGTCGAGGGGGTATATACAACCAGTGAAACGGCAACTTTTTTCGCACGCACCTATGCCCTGCGCCCCTGATCAAGCGCGCAATGCGACCCCTCTCCCCTCCCAGAACACAAATGCGACCCCCCCCGTTCGAACAGTTCGAACGGACGGTTGACCCTGCATCCGGCTCCGTGCCTATCGCAATATCGTCATCATTTTCAGGGCTGGCCCTTTGCCATTACAGCAATGGTTTCTAAGTCCTTTCGTAACATTTCCAGCCTTACGCCTCTTATCAGTCTTGATCAGTCCCTTCAGTCATCTATATTTATGTTCCCGTATAACCCCACACTATTCACACAGGCGCAAGCTTTCTACTGTAATGACGTAACGAACTCGGTAACCCTTCTGCTCCCAAGCCCCTTGTCAGCCCTTATCCCTCTCAATTGCAGTGACCATGATGTGTCTACGTGCCACCCCACATAACTCGTATTTGTGGAAACGTTCCACTGTGAACGGCATCGGCGTAACAAAATCGTTGACATTGGCATTCTGATGGCCGTTATCAGGTCCTATCCACTTGTTCGTTTCCGTAGATCATCTGAGATTCCGCCCTTCACCGTTACGCTTCCACCTTTGAAGGCCCTTCGGTTGGTAGAAGAAGCCATGAATCCCCGGTCATACAGACACACACAACCGCTTAGCGGATTTATGTAATAGGAAAGAAATGTATTGTTTTGTGAGCTTTGGAATTCTGACAGACGTTAATGTTGGTTTTGACATGCTTTTGTTGTGGTTTCTGACATTTTCTGCTTTTTTTCTTTCGTCAGAAACAAATGTGCTCCCCCCCCTTTGGCAACAGATTCTAAGGATCAGCCAGGGAAAAGATTTCCTCATACCACTGCAACTCGTATAAGCGAGAAACTACAACATCACTCCCACTCACTTAGACTCTTTAGACGAGCGGACGTCCATTTCACTGCGAGGCCGTCTCTGTCTCCGAAGTCGAGCTGTGATAACTCCCGCATCTGACCCTGATGACGCTCGTTCAGTAGGCTTTTCCTCTGCTGATTGACGCGGATACACTTCTATTTCGAAGCCTCATATTAGACATAAGACAGATGGCTTTTTCTCCTCTCGGCATAATTTCAGACTTCACCGTTGAGGGACTGATTGCTTGGTTATCATCATCTGCAGCGAGTGCTTCGTCAAATGCAAACTCTCGAGAGAGGCTTTCTGACGATTTCTTTACCACTGACTGCTTTTCAAATGCGAGCGACGCATCTTTCTTGGCAGCATTCATGTGCTCTTCGCTTTGAGTTGAATCCAGTTTGTATTCAGGTCGCGCAGGAGTTAGGGCACTCGCGTCTTTCACGTGTTCCGTCTGGAGTATCCATTCGGACTTTAGCGTGGGTGCAGCCTTCGCAGAGCTGGGTGGTTTTACAGTCTGATCTCCCTCCTTTTTGGGTGGGGCACCTCCAATGATCCATTCAGTGTGGTGCGTTGCTGTGGACTGGCTTGAAATGAGTTTGTGCAACTCAGACTTCTTCCCGTCGTCTGGCCTAGGACTATACGCGGCAGGAAATGATCCGGCATCGGACGCTGGCGTGGGCTCGGTTTTTGAACTGGGCACCTTTGCATTCTGACCATCCTGCTTTTTTGATGCTGCCCCTCCTAAGATCCATTCATCAGGATGCGTTGCTGTGGACTTGGCTTGCAACGAGTTTGTGCAGGTCAGGCTTCTTCCCGTCGTCTGGTCTAGGACTATATGCGGCAGGAAATGATCCGGCATCGGACGCTGGCGTGGCTCGGTTTTTGAACTGGGCACCTTTGCATTCTGACCATCCTGCTTATTTGATGCTGCCCCTCCTAAGATCCATTCATCAGGATGCGTTCCTGTGGACTTGCTTGCAATGAGTTTGTGCAGGTCAGGCTTCTTCCCGTCGTCTGGTCTGGGACTTTGCGCAGCAGCAAGTGATTTTGCATCGGATGCTGGCGTGGGGTCAGTCTTTACAGCGCTGGTCTGCTTTTCAGTCTGATCTTGCTTTTTCGGTGTCCCGCCGATAATCCACTCAGAATGATGCGATGACTTGCTCGAAATGAGCCTATGCAAGTCATGCTGCTCCGCATCGGTCGCTGATGTTGGCTCAGTTTTCAGATTGCTGGTCGGCTTTTCTAACTGATATTCTTCCTTCCTCGGAGTCTCACCAAACACCCATTTTGCACTTTGCTTATTAAAATCAATCACTTCTCTGTCTGACGGACGAGGAGAGCTGTGGTTCACTTGTAAACGATTGGCGGCTGATGTCCGTTTGCTTTGTGCTGTTTCGTCCCTCGGATGGCTACTCATGGATCTACTAGACGAACCATCTACTCCGCTTTTCAGCGCAGCTTTTCTTTGTCGTTCATGCCTAAAGCGTGACCATCGAGTATTGACCGTGGATTAGTGTTCAAAGCTCGAGAAACTTACAGTTTTGATAAATTTGGATCTTCTGATAGGGATCTTATGCTACCTTCAGCTTTGTCTAGAACGTCAACTACCTGAAACGCTTGGAATTGCGGAAGATACCCATAGTTCTGAGCAGGATCAATGAAGCTTACGTACATTCTCAGAGGTCGAGTGGATAACATCTGTTGACTGGCTCTCACTGTCGGACATTTGTAAAGGACACTTACTAAAGAATGAAACACCCTGCCACGAAAAGTGTTTACAGTCGAGAACCGCGTATATTTTCGAACTATCACAGTATCCGGCACCCTTATCATTTTTCGGACTAGGCCTATTCACGCAGCATTCCCTCACGTGAATGAAAACCCAACGGATTGACAGTTGATCGTCATACATGTGACAGCTGTCGCGAGTTTAGGGAGCGTTTACAGTTCGCGGTTTTATACATTTTAGGCGACTAGGCGAGGACTGATCTGTTGGCGACCAACTTTTCGTGCCCTCCATATTTAAATTTTATTTGTTCACCATGGACGAGAAGGGCGGAAGTGGTGTAGTGGCAAGTGGCACGCTTACCACGCGAGCGGTCCGGGGATCAAATCCTGGGTCGTGAGTCGCCCGGGCCAACCAAGCCTTCCATCCCTCCGGGGTCGGTTAATTGGTACCAGACTTGTCTGGGAGGATAAAAACACTGACTTGTACATCGGCTGGCTTCTTTTTTATGGACGAAGCAGCTTTTCAGTTTTAAACAAAAAGCATGGCGTACTCACGATCGCTTTCAGTTCCAACCTTTACACTTTGCCCGAGTCCATGGGTGAGTCATCGTGCTGTTCTTGGATATTTAGTCCTGATGAGTCACAAAGACGATCTGATCATGTGGCATTTGCCGGTGGCAGTAATGATCCACTCTGCGTCTCATCACAAGGAACCGCTGTCCAGAGCTCACAACAACGATTTTTTCGTGTTGGACTTTATCCAAACGTCTCTCGCTTAACAGTTGTCGGCGTCAATATAAAAGAGAAACGCCACAACATCGGCTTCGACTCCACTGATCGTCTTTACATCAACACTGCTGGCCACATGCAATTCTTACTACTGATTCTACTAGTTTCATGTGCTTTTGGTGAGTGTGAAACCTTATGTTCATTTTAGAAAGCGCATAAAAAGCATAGTTTTCATAGTTATTTAAGTAACTTTAGAACAACCGCCAGGTGGAGGGCATTGATTCCAATGGGACCATTGGAGTAGGTTGAATCGCAGATCCAATTCTTCAACTGCAGTTTGAGCTCAATCTTTGAAGTCAGCTCAGTTAGATGTCGAAGAATGTAGAATGAAAAACATAATCTCAAGACATTGCAAAAGCCGCAGTGACGCTTATGAGAAAAAAGGATTGACCAGTCATACCACAATGAATACGCCATGCACTAGACCTGGGAATATTTATATGCTCATCTAGCTAAGCAGTCTCACGATGATCAGTGTGTGTCATGCTCAGCGACAGGTTGACTACTGAGCTGCCGAGGTTTCTAAAGTTTGAATGGGGGATATGGGATACTATCATCTCTCATATTAGTGTGTAAAAAGCAGCTTCTCCAAGGACAACTGCAACCTTCTTCTATGAGGATTGGCTTCCATTTTGACTGTAAAGCCCCACACTATTAAAAAGTACCATAAAAGTCATCCTACAAGTACCAAGTCACTCGGTTAGGTATCACTTTGCAGGTAGCTTTCATGATAGCTCTGTTAAATGATGCTTCCTCACTGCTGCGCTTATTTCTGTCCTGACATACCTTTATTTTTGATCACACGAGCTACCCGATCACTTCTATTGCGTCTCTAAAATTTGGCGATCATTGATCAAACATCGGATTCCTTCTGTTGTGACGACATTTGGTCGGATAGGTGATTCCCCCAGGCGAGATTAAGGTGCCACTGCAATGATATTGGATGATAATGAATCTTTTGAATTGAATTTTTTGATATTGAATAAATAAGTTTCAAGCTTTCGATCATAACTTTTACAGGATACGTGTTCGATTGCTTGGATAGGTGCGAGTGTGACACTGACGACGAAGTGGTTCATTGTCATAATGGAGAACGCACACATTTAACTTTACCCACAGGTGAGTCTTTTCCTACTCTATTTTTTGCACACTCCTGTTTTCATTTCCGCAACATACACAGGAAAGGATTGCTTATTGATAGCGGATAGGGAACATATCCAATGTCAAGAGATGGCGAGCACAGCCAGAATTGTTCGATATGAAAAACTGAAACAATGCTAGCCATGGGCTCAGGCTCAAAATGTTTTCGAATGTAAATCCACAGACCATTTTATCGTAGTCGAAGCAGCTGGTACTATTTGATGGGCGGAGGGGTTTCAATGACGTCAATCTGGGACACTGCTTGACCAGAGCCCACTGCGCGCTGGGTGGGAGAGAAGGTGTAGTTAGGGCAAACTCGTAAGATACGCTAGAGCTACCTATCGAGGTCTTTTCTCGAGTGACGATCTTTCACGCCCAATGATGTTATCAATAGTCCCTCCTCCTCTCGGCCAGCACATCCACTGCCTTCAAGTGGCACTTCAGTGGGAACTGTTAAGCACCCGGAGAGAGAATTAGTAGAGCACACCACTGCCATTTTAAAGGACTTAATCAGTGGAATCGGTTTGAGGCACGCTACCGTGGGATTTCATCAAAAACTCTAAGGCTACTCGAATAAATCATGTTTCATTTTCAGGCCAACGCCTTCGTGGTTTTCCAGTCATCGGTATGACCTACAATAATATTGTAAACCTTCCCGATGAGAAATTACTGCTAAACAAGTTTCCTGACCTCAAGGTACGAATTTCATTATTTATTTCAG